AATATTATTCGTCCCCATGTTATTTAAGCATTTATAAAAAAGGCAGAGAGCATGAGAATATCTGCGATGATCTAGGGTCTTCAGTCCCACATGGTCAAGTAAGGTACTTTATGAGTTTGACTTAGTGACTGAGGTTAGTGGTCTACGTGGCAGTTCATTCCAGTGATTTAGCTGTAACATTTTGCTAAAAAAATTGGCCCGTGATTTTAGCCATGGACAAACGCTCTGTTTTAGGCGCTTTCTGGTGATATGGTGTTATTGAGGCCAAGTTAACTTCTGTAAACCATACGTTCTCTTTGTAGAAAGTACGAGACTGGCATAGTCATGCCCCGGGATGGTAAATCTAGAGTTCCCGGATGAAGTAAGAGCTAAGCTCATGCACAGATCCTCTGAGACTGAGGTGCAGCTGGACTAGACACGGGAATCGGTGCAGAGCAAACACTCACCTTCGAAATTCACCATATGATAATCTTCTTATATTGCTAATCTTAAAAGAAGGAGAGAGGGAAAGATACCAGATTGCTTTGTCAATGTAAACTACGTAAGTTATTTTTTCAAGGGGAACCAGGGTTTCGCATACAGCCATGACTGACCCTTAAGCTGCGGCCCTACGCAATGAGTTCTCTAGATTGATAACAAAGTATCCGACCTGAAAGTACTAGGGTGAAAAAGGTTATTTTATTATTATTTTTTTTTTTGCCTCTCTTGATAATAAATTCTGCAGTGCAAAGGTATTACGCAAGCAAGGTTATCAGTTTATAAAGGAAATGTATTGCTGCATCGGTGGTCAAGTCAAGCAATCAGTTGATCTTGTAATAAACTATCGATCATATATATTATCATTTAGTCATTCATTATTCATTATTCATCATTTAGCTTTAAGAAGTATTTCGTATTTGTCATATGTTGATGTACTACTCCTAAAACGGAACCACCTCTTCTTGGTTGTCGTAGTCAGTCCTACACGAAATTGTGACATTTAGGGATTTTATACGAACTAAACAGAATTTATCGCGACTACTTTAGAAGAGTCGATTTCACTATTTTATATACTTTATGATATCTCCTATAATTATCGATCATATGTTGATTACATATCTACAAACATTTTCATTCTTGGTAGTGTTTTCTAATGGGCATGAAGAGTTAAGGCACCATGTGTACATGCTAAAAATGTAGTTCTCTGGACTGGCAGTCCATGTTGGTCTCAGTCACTGAGATAAACATGGACTGTCTCCACTGATCCACAACCATCTTGGTTACTTTGCAGTTTCTTCTCACGTTCAGTTTTTGGTACTTGTCTTCACAAGCTAACTATTCATTTAGGTTTCTTTCTAATCGGGGTAGATTATCTCCGTGAAACTTAAAATGACTCAAATATCGCAACCTACTGTGTAGCATGAAAATTTTTCCGATTTTAAATGTTGCACTGAGTTTTTGCAGATTCACCATCTGCAGGATAAACTCCCGCCGCGAAAAAACTTCCATGGTAGACGTTAGCTCCTCCATGAATTCATTTAGTTACAGTTGGTCCGTAAGTTCCAACAGCGGTGAAGTGAAACTGTCCGTATTGAAACTACTGCGTAGGAGAGTTTTCAGAAAAGGTTCCTCGGTGTGAATGCAGTAGTCGCTGAGTCCTTCCAGGCCGGTACTGTCTGACCAAATATCTACAAGGAAAAGAAAATACAAAACACGTGTAAGTAGCTGGGGTTTATTCAGCGATTTGTTGAGTTTCAGTATAATAAAATAAAAGTGTTGAACCTTAGCACTACTTGACCAGTAAGTGGCCTTGTATTTAGTTTGTTTTACATATACTGACACACGCGGTTCTTTCATTGACTGCCCAGTCTCTCTCAGTTTTAGCCTAAAAATGTCAAGCAGGCTTCAAGAATTTGAGCAAGAGAAGAAATCTTCCGTTGGTAATTGGGTTAAAGCTGATTGTTTTTATCACTCGATCAAGGCACTGAGGGATAATCCCGGTCGAAAACAAAATGAAAAGTTTATCTGTCATGATACACACTAAGGTGTTGCCATTTCCTATTTTAATGAGATTAATCTGGATTTAAAAAGAGACAGATAAGAGTATGAGCGTTGGATGAGAAAGATAGATCTGTTCAATCAGTTTTTATTTACGCTTTGGAGGTATTCAGCGAAAATTTGGAATATGATGTAGTTGAAAATAAGATCACACAAATGTTCAAAGTACACATGTTTTGAATTTAGGCGACTTTATTCCCAAGCCAACATTAAAGCTCTAACCTAACACAGGAAGGTATATAAAATTCATTTTTAGTCTTTTGCCCTGTAAGGACTTTAAAAGCTGCATTTTTACATCGTAAGGTAACTGGGAGCAAATGAAATTGTTTCAGTACATAAGGCATCCTCATCACCTTTTCAGAACCAACATGGATTACATGCCGCACTCAGGACTCTCTTCCTTTTGACGTCATTATGTTGTTGTTGTCAATATGCCACACTCCTTATAAGGACACTAGTTATAACTTGAGAGTGTACACCTTTTCAAATGTGTTTAAGGTTCGAAAGACGATGTGTAAATGACCACAAAAAGCCAAATATGCTGAGAGTATAGCTGTGGACAAGTGCAAATATTACCTCTAGGGATCGATAGATAACGGTAAGAAGGTTGACGCCCTTTATCTGAGATCTGTCATTTGTCTGCGCCGTTATGTGTTTAAAAAGTGCAATCTTTCATCGCGATGTTTTCATAACGGGACCATCTCGTTTTCCTAAAACGACAAGGCTTTGGAACCAAATAAATCATCGAAGGTAGATTTGTACCTTAGGTATTACTTATGGCACTACATTCGAGTTTTGATTTTAACATCCAATTGATTAGTTATAAGCGGGTGTTTTCTTGCTAAAAACATTGTAAACCATTAGCCTTGACGTTAGATATGGCTAAATTCCTTAAAGTCATCTTACAAAGGTCAGTGAAAGTGTATGATATAACAACAAGAGCACAGAAACCTAAGATGGTGTAGCACACATTTGCTATTGCATGTGAAGTCGAGCATGATGGTATTTTAACGCCTCCTCGGTAGATAATGTTTCATCAGCATAATGAGTCTACTTCAAATGATAAGCGTAGCAAACTTTGCCAAATAAGAAAGGACGTTTTATTTTTGAATATTTTTCGACACCTTTTTCCAAGAGCCAACCGGATTGTCAATCGGTTGCCAACAGATAAGCGAGCCAGGGTTGTGGTCGTGCCCTCATCTCTAGGGTGGCCAATTCTGATAACATGCGAAAATCGTATGACTCTTTTAAAATCTGTGTCAGCTTGTTATGATCAAAACCGGATCATAAACGCTATCAGTTTCAATATGTTTAAGAAAGATTACTACAGCTTCTAAAAAAAATTTGTAAATGAATTTTTAAGAAAGGAGTCAATTACTTCTGGTGATTCTAAAACCGTCACACTTTGTAATAACGAAAGTCATAATTGACAAAACATTTAACAAGAAAGATCTTATCTAGGACTTTAACCTTAACTTTAAGAACACACTGGCTCAAACTGATAGACGAAAGCCAAACTAAGATAAGTAGGTATCTCAGCCTAAAACAGGGTGTCTTAACTGACATTTCCTTCTCCTTAACATCTGTAGAGAAGGAAAGTAACACCGGATTTCAAATACCTTCCTCGGCTTGATTCTCTCAGGTAGCCGTTCGTATTTAGTCTACCATAAATCATTTTGTCATTGGATTTTTATGGTTTTCACATCAATTCGACATCGGCACGGTTGGGGATCGATAAAGCGTAATTGAGTTGCTATCTATGAAGAAGATCATAAAAGAATTTTTAATAAACTTCCCTCGAGTTTGTTCACGGAATATAGAAATATCATATTGTTTATTCATATGTGCCTTTTATGAATGATAAAGTTTATTCAGTAATATGACTGGACCACAAACAATTGGGCTTATTTTTTTTATACCAATTTCTTGATGCAAATAATAGGTGGAGGAAACGAGTCTATCTGAGCCTTGAGATATCTATTTTAAACAATGAAGAATTAATGGAAACTGCTATTCTCGAAAATAGCCAAAATATTTCAAAACTTTGGTAGAAAACATGGGTAGCAGATCTAAGAATTCTCTAGAATAAAGTAAGCTGATGGATTAGTTCATTTTCAAATTGTGAGATAATTAAATGACCTTAGCCAACACAAAAGTGATCTTTATTTTCCCGACCAATCTTTTTCTAAGTAATTGTCATAAAACCGAGCGCTTTCTCTGACGGAATAACCGTGACCACACAAACGTCATATCAGTTGATTGACGTGTTTAAATGGTCGGCGCTTCTGATGTATTTAGAGAGAAAATAAACCTCTGCCAGTAGATAAACATGGAAACATAAATTACATTAATTCTACGGGGTATCTTTGTCGCGAACGTATCCTTCGGGAACTATTTCAAATGTCTTTCGGATGAAAACGATGCTAGTTTTTAAATGAACTGAAACCATTTCCTCCAGAAGTGTCAGTTCCGTTCGGGTGAGGGGCACGCTATAATTAGCTTTAGGCCCATGTATTTATGGCACTCCATAGCTCCTTCAGTATTTTTCTTTTTTTGGAGCCTCCAAAAAAACTTAACACTTCTCTGAGGCAACATGGCATACAATAAATAATGGAAGGCCGTAAGGGTACATGGCCCGAAATGTAATCCCCCTCTTAGCTGCGGAGATTATACTTTACAGTTTCTTTGATGGAATCAGTGAATTTCGTAGGAAAGAATGTACCAGAAAATTTCCCATCAAGGGGTGTTCTGTTGATTTCAGTGAAAATATGACCAGTTAAAATAAAAATGCCTCCTTTCCTTATAAGGCCTTGGGTCAAAAGCGGGAAATAGGAATGCGAGAGCCAGGTTTGGACGTAAATCGATCCTGCCTTGTTGAAAAGTAAATGAAAGGCAAGATTTCTACGTTGTTGTCTTTTTAAATAGCGTGATCAATTTTATGTTGCACCATGAAAACATACGGAGAACCAGTTGAAAATTTAAGTCACTGGTATGTAAGCATCAAAAGGAAAAAGGTCAACACGGCTTTGATTAATAGTTTGCTGAAAACTTATAATAACAATAAGCCCGGCGTTTTTGCTCTCGGAGCTGCAAAAGATAGTAACTAGGCTCTTGTGCTGAGCTGATAAGAATGCAAATAAATAAACAAACGCAAAGTAACTTACCTTGTCCTTGAAGAAAGCAATCGTCTTCAAGCTCGTGATCGTTGATGAAAAAATCTTCTCCCAGAAAATCATACAGCTGCGGCTCGACAGCAGATTTTGGTTCGGCGTGTATCCTTTGATCCTGATCTAGTAACTTACTCAGGTGGTCTATCCACTTCGTCGCTACTCTTAAGATGTCAATCTTTGAAATATCCACAGAGTGAGCCAAAGGGAGTGCGTTTTTTAAGTCGATGAATGCTTGGTTTACACCTTGAATTCTTCGACGCTCGCGTTCATTCGCCGCGCGCCGCTGCCGGCTGACTCCTGTTAGCATGCGCTTTCTTCGCCTCTTCAGCTTGCGCCTTCCTTGTTGAGCGATGGGGCTGCTGACATTCTCCAAGTCACCATCCCCGCTGATTGAAGAAGAGGTCGGGGAGTTTTCATCTGAGCAAGTAAAAGGCTCAACAGTATCATCCTCACAAGTCCACGAAGCTCGGTGTTTTCCATACGACATGTTCGGCGAAGTGCGAGGCGCGTTTCTCGTGTGATCTCTTTTGGTAATGACAAGCTCAAAATGTTTCTAACTGATGGTCCAGCGCGTGAAAGGCGACACCACAATCAAAGACTGTAGATGAAGTCGATGAAGAGAACATTTAAGGTCGGGCTTCCATCGATTTTACGGTATTGGTGTCGATTGCAGTAGATTGATAAACCTTTTAAAAGCCATTAGTTAAAGTTTGATTGGCAGACTGGACCAGACATCCTTTGATGACTCTGTCCAAGCCCTCTTTGGAGTTCCAAACATTTTACGAGCGACATTCTCTCGTCCGAGAAATTTTTCTGGGGCATTTTTTTGTCGTTACTGTCATCTGTCAGTTGCAGACCGCCACATGGATCCTGCGTGGGTGCGAGATGAGCCGCGGGTTAATTGTGTCCTCGCGATTATAAGAACAAAGGCGGTATCCTACTAGAGAATCATAACTGCTCGTGAATTGTTCTACCCTGGTTAAGCCATTTATTAATGGGAACTAATTAAAATACGTTTATATTAACGGTACGTTAGAAGTCAATAGGTTACGATAATGTTGTATACCACTGGATTAAGTCAAGCATATCATTTTGATATCAGAGTTATTTCATGACGCACCAGTGAATAATTCATAAAATTGTTAGGTTGGGTGGGTAACGTTTCGTTTTCATACTCTTGAAGATTCGGACGCACTGGCATCCAATCTTGGAATTCACTCATAGTTCCGGTATTTACTTCGGAATTCTTTTCTAAACAAGTTTGAATTAGCTTGTACGTCAAAGCATTGAAAGGAACATAGTAATGTTAAATTGAATAACAATCGAAGCAAATCGATTGGGTGTCAGTCCATGTGTTATGCACACAATTAAAAAACTCAGTTTATCCTTCCAATTAATGTTAACGAGGTGTTGTTGCTTGAATGCCAAAATGCTAGGTTAGGCTCCTACGTCGACAGTCCACAAAATATGATACCAAAGAAATACTAGCTGATGCTCTGTTGATAAGTTCACAAGTGAAGATCATAAGGCATGGCGTTAGAAATAAAACTGGTAAATTCACAACACGAACAGAATTTATGTCGAGAAATTTCAATGCTGGAAAATTGAAGCGCAAAAAGAAGCCTGGGGGCATCCGATTTAACTTGAGATCAGATGCCACCACGCATTGAACGGAGTGGAGCACGAATTGGTAAGACGTTAGACAAATACAAATGTATCATTAGGATTAAAGTTTCCGTTAACTGGAATTTTTTTATTTCTACCCACTAACTTCCAGTTCCCGTGGCATATTCAGGATTAAGTGGATGATTTTATAACTAGTACTTAAGTGTCAAGATGAAGGAAGGAACAAATCTTTAGCAGATTTAGGACACACTGATTGTGCAGAGATCTTTTTCAAGTGTGTGTCCTTAAGAATCGTGTACTGTAATATTTCCAAACAAAAGACACACTTCATCGAAGAGGCTCCTTAACACCTACTGATTGTTGATCAAATCTGAACGACCGAAATCTGCACCGATGGCAAAATTATATTTCTCAACCTTATGCGCGTTCATCGTGAAATAAGCCACAGATTAACCTCATGAAGTGGCAGTCAGCTATTCATCTTTCCGGGGCGACAAAGCTTAACGTTCGTCGAACATAACGAAGTCTGTGATTTATGCCGGTGACTCAGTTATGCCGCAGTAAATGAAACCCATGGAGGCAACACTGGGCAATTAACAAGCATTGTTAACGAGGACCTGGTTTTAATGAATTTCACACGTTTCAATTGTTGTGGCTGTTGTGGTTTATAGTTATTGAGATCCCTGGTGTCTTGTTTTGTACATTAAGAATCAATTAAAAGTGGGCTTCGAAGCTAATTAAGAAATCAGTTCTAGCGACTTCTAAAGACAAACTGCGCGGCCCATAAACATTCATAGTTAATCATATTTGGATATTTTCCCAACAAGAGAACGTTTTGGATTACTTTGTGGACACAAGTGCTGACAAAATAACAAATAGAATTTGTCTCGAATGAAATATGCCACTTTTCTTCTATCGGTTTCTTTCATGGTGTTCTTACATCGTGCTCTACACGCGTGTCCAAAACCGGGAAAAAAAGGTCATAGACCGGCGTTAGTATAATCATACTCTTAAACGACAGTCACAGAACAAGGTCAGAAAAATGTGTGCTCAACAATTTGCCGAAGCAGTTTTTTCGGGGCTCGAGAGATATATCATAGAAATTGCACATTTTTGAAGTTGTGTCCAGTTCAGCTCATCAAGTATTAAACAATGTAAAAAATCTGGATGGCATGTTAAAACACAAACTTCCTGTATTCTTGAGGCTCACGTGACGTGTAAGGTTGAAAGAAGGACTGACGTGCTATGCTCGCATCAATTGCGCAATCTACTTCCGTGCACGCGCGCATAAATTAGGTCTCACTGGCTCTCTCAAACATAAATATTCCGGCATTCGTCAAATCACCAAACCTGCGTAATTTGTTTATTGTTTAAAAGTGGAATCATTGCTATCGTCATTAGACCCTGAATACTTGCAGTTAACTTTGCTAAATCCTTTTGAAATTGTTGACAAGCTATAAACTCTCAACCTATTGAAGTTGACCTTTGGATAATCGAGTAAGAATTCTTTGTTGAAAAAATGACATAAGTATGTTGAGCATGAGTCAACGCTTGTTCATAATCAATGTCTGTCATTTCCATGACCTTACAGGTATGTGGTGTGTGGAAGAATCCTAATAATCGACTGAAATTTTTTCCCTGCCAGAGGCTCTTTTTTTAGTGATGAATGTTGTCATTGATACGATTGATTTTATTTAAAAAAAAAAAAAAACATAAAAAAATTCTTGTTGTCGCAGTTGGTCAGAAATTTAGACATCACGGTACTATGTTACCTTTTCTTTCCAACCCTGTGGCAATGGTGCAATGACTCAAGGAAAATTTGTATCACCACAACATGATCCATTTCGTCCCATGTATCAGATCTGGTCTAATCGAAAGGGTATAATTCAGGCCAGAATTCGACCACTGAACCACCAGTGCTTCTCATTAACAAGTTGAAGTTTCTTTTGTGCAGTTGCTAAAATTGCCGCTTACCTGCAAGGATCATTGCTTTTCGTAAGAGCTCCTTATGGAAGAAAATGACAAAAGTATGTCATGCATGAATCAAAGCTTTTTTCCAATCATTGTCGGTCATTCAGTTTCATGCCGGCAGTGATGCGGTGCGTGGAAGTTCAAAATGCATGGATCATAACTGTTTCATGCTTGTTGTTTTGTGTGATCAAACAACTTTAACCAAATCCTTGTAATGATTACAAAAAAGTGTACTTTAATGACTCTAGTTGCAGCCTGAAGTATTTTAATGAATTGTCTCTATTAGGCTTTTAAGTTTCATTCACAAGAGGGTTCTCTTCACATCTGCGCATATGCAGTGTTAATATGACATGAACAAAATCAACTGTACAATTGATAACTATATTTAGTTTATATGTAGGTCGTGAAAATTTGAAATTTGTGGCCAGGTGACATAGTTCACAATCAAGTGTCCACGTTTATCAGTCTGAGCTAATCTCCAGATCAATTAATCATTTGGACTCGGAAAGCATACCTTGTTTCATTATCTCAAACATTACAGTCATTGCTTCGAAATCTTTAGATTGTTCCAAATTCAATACTTTTCCTCAATGCCAAATAGAAGATATTACACGAAACTTTTTATAGAATGCATCGTTTTGGCGTTTTGATTTGGTGTTAAAGGATCGTCTCATGGCAGGCTTGAATTCACTTTCAAGGTCGACTGCTTGGAGAAAGGAAGAAGAAATAGAACATTGAAGGACATGAGACAACTGATATAACAGTAATATTCCGAAAATAATAAATATGGGATTTTGGAAAATCACTTAGAGGTGAAATTTCAAAAAGGTACTTTCAGAAGGCCAGGCCGCCAAGAAAAGTTCTCGATTTTCAAAATTTTGTCCAGCCTGAGGCTATTTTATTAGTAATAAACGTTATCACTGATATAATTGATTTATAAAAAACAGACAAAAATTCTCAGTCACAGTATGTCGTGAAATTTAGAAACCATTTTTCTTTTTCCTCGTCTTTCCAACTCTGTGATACCTATTGGGTAAAAATAATGAAACAAATAGAGTGATCCATCAGTACCAGGCACAAAATCCATAAGAGTTCTGTGAGAATTGCCCCCGAACCCGGGCCTCTCTTGTAGCAGGCAAGAATTCTACCACTAATTGAACTATCAGTGCATTTAGACACACATGAGCGCTTACTGTCGGCACGACATGATACATGGGAATCAAGAGAGTTTGCAGAGAAATGCACTAGCCGGGAAGCGAACCCGGGCCTCTCGCGTGGCAGGCGAGAATTCTACCTCTGAACTACCAGTGCCTTACACGGCGGATAACTCTTTATTCACAAATGATTTGACACGAATGGTAAAGTTATTCAGAGTAACTCAAGCCGTATCTACTTGAAATTACAAGCATAAGACTTGAGATGTTCTCAGATTAAATCAAGCGATATGATTCTAAGATCTCCAACCAAAGGTGGCTGGAGCGTGCAACGCGGAAAGAAAAGAAAATTATCTGACTTCCAATAGCTTAGTTCTCCAGACTGATCTTTGGATATATGATGGATCTCATCAACGAAAACTTTATCTAGGTCGACAGATCTGATACAGTTGGTAAATATAAACTATGTTCAACAAGACGAACTGAATCATTTTTCGTCCTCTCTTACCATCGCCTTTTAGCTTGTACACACAAAAAAAATCGATTTTCAGCGATAAATTAGTCTTGATTCCAACTCAAAAGTCTTAACAGAATATGTTTCACTCAGCCTGACAACAATTCCCTCGATACTTGAGCCTGCAGTAAGTCAGTTATATTATACATGAAGACATGCACTGGTGCATTCCTCAATGTCTTGTTTGTAGGGGTGTTCGGTATTTTCAGAGACAGAACGAGTGCTATTCATCTGTAGGCTATGAAAATGAACGAGCGATTTATAGAAGAAACTAAACTCTCCGATGCGAAGTCTGCTATCGATCAGTATTACTGCTCTGTCTCCCCGCTTAAGGTTTAGAGTCCATATTATTGCGTTGAACAGTTGGTTAGTTCTGACTTGCATCATCATTTTCCTTGCACGTGTAATCTGTTGTTTGTTCCTTCATCTTTTGAAACCTAAAAAGCAAAATTAAATTTAACTGTGTTAGTAGGTCAAATTTAATTGAATCCTGAAAAAAACATTTCAGAATGTGATCAATAAGAACTTTTAAAAGCCTATGTGCCTGGGTGTGAATTTACACAAAGATGCACAAGGGTTTACTTATATTCCGCTGATTCATTTTATTTTGAAAGACAAGTTAAACTGTGATGGGGTAAATTTAGGACATGTGAGACACCTCGTACACTGATCCACAAGATAAACAATCTATTGCAATTCGGGAGAAATATTGATGTAAACTAAAAAAAATTAGTTCACACGGAGCTCATTAAGGTCTTTAACCATTCAACTATTTTCTTTGTTACCAGAGGAACAAATATCTTCCCCTTTCCCTTCACAGACTTAGGTTTGACACAGATTTCACTCAAGCAAAACAGTAACAGGCTCGGTCACCTAATTTGATCAGTAACTTTAAACATTTGCCACGTAAATACCTAGTTTATTGTTCGAACGTATCGCTCGCTGATGATTTCTCTGAAGGTCGTTGATAGAGCTTCGAACCGCGAAATGCGAAGTTCTGATGTATTTAGTCAAATTTCTTCTCTGCATGCACAGAACAAATGCTTAGCATCTTTCTGTAATGGACGACTGAGCCAAAAATTTACCATCTTTAGATTTCTTTCGTGCTTCAAGCTTAAAAACAACTTGATTTTAGTTCATTTTGACTTTTGCATTCAACTCGGACTTTAGTTTCCCTATATGAAAAAGAAGATTTCGTGAGCCATGGTATGCATGGGGCGATGTTTCGGTTACGAATTTACTTCTGTATTCGTTGTAATTATAGTAATAATTATTTTTTCATATGCTGCACCGATGTCGAAGAGGTTGCCCTTTCAAAGCGCACCGCCTCACATCACGCGAGTGGTATGACAATAATTATTTTGATAAACTGATGTCTGGGGAGAGAAAACCGGAAAATAAAGCAATTACTGCTATGTAATGCAACACAGAACAACAACCCCACAACTTTCAAATGACTATTTTCTAAAGCTCAAGATCTTTGGTAAAAATTTAAGTTTTGAGACTAACAGCATGTACATGAATGACTTTTCAGACTCTACCAGGGACGTTTAACTGACAATGGTCCTCAAAAACCAACCGAAGAGATCATTCCATCTTGAAAAGGTTATCTCAATGGTTCGGAATAATCTATGATCTTCTGAACAGACGAGTTCTATTAAAAGAACATTAACAGTCATAAAATAGATCTCTTTTCGTCGTTCACAGCAGCATACTGCATCCTGAATAACCTAGCAACTACTTCAATACGTGAAAAGCTATCAGCTCTCTGAAGTAAAAAATGCCATGCTGAGATTTTGTTGTAATGAATATCGATCCAATTGCTTCGCTACGACATTGGCCTACAATAAAAACTGTGTGCCTGCAGTTTTCTGTTGAAAAATTCTTTTGACCAAAGGCAGAAATTATTTGATCATTGTCAAGAGAGGGAGAGAGAGAAGAAGAGAGAGAGTGGGGAGACTAAAGGCAGAGAGAGAGAGATAGGGATAGAATTGTGGCTAAGGAAGAAGATTAAAAGTCGTGGCATGTTTGTAACCAGTGAAAAGAGAAAGCCGTGCTTTTTATCAAAGTCACCCCAAAGACTTAAAGAATCAACAAACTATATCCTCGAGTAAAATCAAAATGAAATGCAAAAAAACCAGAAGACACACGAAACAAAACTGCACACTAAGATGGGTGCGCACGAAGTGTGTAGAGAAAATATTTCATATGTACAACAAACAGTTATGGAAAGGATTTGTCTGATAATCCATGGTAGCCGCTATGCAATTCGTTGAAAAGAATTATCATAAAGCTGTTAAATCTAAAAAGCTTAAAACAACACACATTATCCGATTTACGGATTAGTGACACCATCAGACTTTGTTTATCAATAAAGTTTTCCCTTGATCCATTTGTTACACACTCATTTTATCAAGAACCTTATTTGTACACGATCAACCCTACGTCCATTAAATTAGACAGTAGCTTTCTCACACCCTCCCAAGGGATTTATGAGCTCATTCGTGCTTTCCCTCTTCTCAAAAACCCACGTTCTAGCCCTTTAGGAAACGAGATCTCGTTGTTGATTCATTACATGCAGGTAAGAGTCTTGATGTCGGAAAAATCACACCTTTTCTCGTCTTGTGGTGAAACATCGCCCACCAAATTATAATCTTTGCAACTTCAACTGTTTGCAAAATGAAATTATCAAGGGTCCAAGCGGGAAAGACCGCCAACTAGCCCAATTCATTATCCCCAGTTTGCCAAGTTTTTTCAACCAACTGGTTGATACTAAACATATAGTTTTCAGAAATCCTAGCACGATTTCCTTAACCAAATAATCCCTTTCTGCGCTCAGAGTTCTTAATTGTTAAAATAATGTTTATGGGGCGTCTTCGCTATTGGTTTAGAGAACTGAACACTGTCCTGTTTTTACCTTTCGCTCAAACTGGGAGGATTACAGCAATTACAATACGGTCTTAGCGCATTAAAAGATTGTGTTTGTTTGAATCCTTTTTAGATTTCTTCCTGGCTAATGACAGAGTTTTTTTCAGTATTGTGTAGGACACTGTCCTATTGGCGAAATGTAATTATGAAGCACCAAGAATGGAGAACGTCAGGAATAAGTGACTACCGGCCATGATGGCGTGACCAAGGGAAAATCAAGCTTAGTGGCTCGTTTATGATAAAATAAAGGAGAATTCAGTCCAAACTAAGACACTGGGTCATTATCTCAATCTGTGAAGAAGACAAAAGTCACAAAATTAAACCGAAGGTGCTCAGATCCTTTCAGCTCACAGGAAACATGATATGACACTGCTGTGATTATCCTGTCTGAATCGTTCCCTATTTTAGTCACTTCAAGGACAGAGAATCATAATGTCTGGAAAATGGCAACAATAGCTAAAGTATTTACACTTTTTCTTCACCGAAGGCCTAAAATTAGCTCCGTTCGGAGACTAGACTGCGAACAAAAAAAAAAAAGGACTGAAATGTTTAGGGACCCACTAGCATTCTTTGAGCCACAGGGCATAAACAAAAGATTTCCGATCGTTAATGACATGAAAAGGGCGATAAGCTATCGAAAAGCCGACGATTGCATGGCATACTCTTTAGTACAATCACTATCAACAATACTGTACATTTTGTAACACAGAGTTTAAAGACTTTGATAATCACTTACCGCTTTAAGTAGGCTCAAACAAAATGTGCACACTCTTGATGCTGAAGATGGTGAAATGGCTCCATTGTGTTCAGCTGCCTTTGCCACATTTGGACACTGAGTTCCACTCACCAACATTGATCCAAGATGCGCGATGTAGCTTGAAGCCAGGCGCAATGTTTCTATTTTTGAAAGTTTTCTGTCAGAAGGTTCAGTTGGTATAAGAACTCGTAATGCACTGAATGCAGAATTGACACTGTGAGTTCTACTTCGTTCGCGAGCGTTTGCAGCTTGTCGTTGTTTACTAAGGCCCGTTAGACGAGGTCTTCTCCTTTTTCGCTTGTTGTTCTTTGAAGTTAAGGTGTTCTCATCATCGGACTCGCGCTTAGGCGAGGAGTCATATTCGTCTGAGTCCAACGCTTCCAAGTCGCCGAGTGTCGCCCTCTGTTTCCTCTTTCGTGTTCCCTCCATTTGAAATAAAATTCAAGTCAATGTAATGATTTTAAACAAAGAATCATTCTTCTAAACCTTCCTATGGAGCTCTGGAAGTTTACAACAAAGTAGCAAATATAGGTTTGTGCTAAGAGGTAGAAAATAAGGCAAATCGAAAGTTGAATAATCTCCCATCAGGAGGGGTTGTATTTTAATACACGGCGGCCTTTTTGACGAACCACGGGAAATTGGAGCCGCCAATCGCTTAACCAATCAAAAGGCATTGATCCGTTTCATTCGAGTCTACAAACAAGATTGTAAGACAACATCCCAGCTTGTTGACGAGATAATTACTGTATGGACCTCAAAGGCCACATTCAACGTTTTAAGGAATTTGCCATTAATTTCAGTCAAACTCGGCGGTTAGAAACAGTTTGGAGAAATCAGATCGATTCCAGTGGCGGTGAGGTGTTGAAGACACCTTAACGGAGCACTGCAGATGAAAACCGTCAAATAAGCTCAACAGTTTCAAAATAAGATCAGCTACCGACATCATGTGATATTTTCATCTCTAACGATATATTCTGTAAACTAACTTGGCTACTATCAACGCATAATTGAAGCGAGGAGGAGTTTAAGAAATTAATATGGAATCAAAAACAATGGGAGGACTGTAGTTATGGTGTTCAGCTTTCATGTGTTTAATTTTATCAATTAACTTAAGTGACTCAAACAACAGACAAGTTGTTAGCAGCACTTCAGACTAAAACTCAACTTGAAGCGCTTCCCATTTGATCACCTCTGATTCTTGAAATTCACATTGAATTGACCAGAGAAAAGCAGTGCGAGAATATTCACAATTTAGGTCGTTATTAGATCAAGGACTTCGGTGGATGATAGTGTAGCAGATAAAATCACGCAATTTCATGTTACCATTGACAAAGTAATACGCATGCTTTTTTCTTCTTTGTAGACATAGCTCGTTTCAAGTTATACTTTTTATTTCCTTGGACTCCTGGAAACCTGTACGCCACTAAATTGTTTGGATAAACCAGACAAAAACAATCCTTGGACACGCAAGCGAGTCAGGCTTGAACTGTAAGGACATTCTAGCATGAAACGGGAGGCGCACCGGTCAACTGTAATAAACAAATGACCTTTGAAATATTATTCATATCCGTTGAAAATTGAATTACTTACTGCTAAGCCGCTCTACTCAAGTACCCACTTGAGTTTGCTATCCTAAAGATCTCAAAAGCTCCTCGTCTGAGCAAAAATAATTTAACACTGAGTTCCGCAATGGCCATCTCGCGAGTCTACACCGTAGCGTAAAGTCTGGTCCTTTTTATAACAAGCAGCTTCGCATCCTTGCAAAAACAGTCACGTTTTATTTGAGTGTTTGTCAACTAATTTCAGTGAAAAGTCTACTTTAAATAAAATACCTTTCTGATACACGCAACACTTTCCATTCGCGCTGCAAATCCAAATGAAGCGATGATCACAAATCCTCGATTGACGCTGAAGAGGACTAAAACACCGAGATCGCAGCCACTGAGGCTCGAAAGACGCTCACAAAGTCAATCGGTATTAGGTATCGCCTGTTTAAGGTAACGAAACCTTAAAAATAAGAAAGATACAAAGGATTGTGTGTCTGGTTTAAATGTTGGTTTGGCGACTTTCCTTGTTCACAGACAGTCGTGACGAACTTTTCAAATGCAACCGGATATGTGGCTTCCATATCAAATGATGTCATTGTGGAATATGCCGCAGTACAGGTTAATGATCAACAGCCACCAGTGCCACCCGAGCGGACGGACAGGTCCCAGGGGCATTTTCGTTTCAGCCCGAACCAGGAGCCCCGCACTACACAGATGTAGCCGACGTATTGGGTCGGGACCAAATACGAACTTCAGTAATGTTCCTTGAATGACTGATTTCCTAACAAAGAGGTCAGAATCATCACCATAAGTTCAAATCCTGATGTAAACTTTGAGAATTGTCTCCTCCATAATTTCCTAATCTTCTTCTACTGATTACCTCCGTATGTAACTCGGTGGAATCAGTTATTTTCCCTAACAATTTGAAGCTAGGATAGTTCCATTGACAGTACGATACAATGCAACATTTTTATTGACCTCTCTGCATATAGGGGCCTTTCAGGGACAATACCATAAAAAATAAACTTAAAAAAACGTTAAAAATTCAAATTGGATAGAATATCTACAGCGAAGTGAATGTTTGGACCTTTGAATTGTCTTCAACGTTATGTTCCTGCAGTTCTAAATAACTACATTGCTGCTGTTGAAATGACTGAGCCTTGTCCATTCAGCTTACAGACCTTTGAGACAATGGGCATTCATTTTTATATTCCGGATTTTATCACGTCCCGCGTCATCTCCAATCACAAACATAGATTATTAACTAAGATGCTTAACCTGCTACAGCACTGCTACTTTCAACGACTGACTCAGTCTTGAAGATGGTTCATTGACTTACAACAAACTCCTTCGACAGACGTGAATAGCTACTGCTAGCACACAGACGACTTATTCACGACATTTACATCCCACAAGTGTTCTTTTCAGTACCACTTACCCTCACGATAAGACTATACCATCAATGATCAATGTTAGTCTTGGCGGTTCAAACCACTTACTGTATCAAGTTGCAGTTAGTTGTTACAGTTGTGACATTTTTAAATAAATGCAAGTTTAGCGTTTCCGCCATTCTATAGACCACTTTCATGAATGGCTGCCGGATTAATATTCTTTTGTTTAAATTTAAATTAGCCCTTCCGGCTTCGCTTGAGATAATGTATTCTTTTGAATTTTGTACTAGAGAACGAGGCCAGAAACGCTAATTCAAATTTAGATATATCAACAAAGTTGAAATGGTAAATTGGCCACCGTAATGATTACAAATTTAATTTAATTTAAATTTAAACAAAAAAATATTAATCCGGCAGCCATTTATGAAAGTGGTCTATTGTCTCTCCCGGTCATTGTCCCCGGCTGAAACAGATTTTAATGAATAATTAACAATTATTCCATGAGCGCGCTTTGGATATGAGATGATAGATAGCCAATGAGGCGCTTAGCGCCGAGTTGGCTATAATCATCCCATATCCAACAAGCGCGAGTGGAATAATTGTTTTATCAAAAACGTTAAATTAAATTATTAAATTTTATTAAATTTTTGGCTCCCTTTTAATTTTAAGCTGACACGTACGCTTGCCATATTTGTAGATTATGGTATATTGGCTCATATACCATAATGGCTAAGCCAATAAAAGCCTTGAATTGCATTATCTAATGATCTAGTTTTTAATAAAGGCTGATTGTTTCGAAAGAAACNCCTTCGTCGGAGCGAAGGGCTAACGTTCGCTTGGACGTAACATTCGCTCCGACGAAGGGCTAACGCTCGAAACGTCAGCTTTTGTAATCGTTACGGTGGCTAATTTACCATTTCAAGTTCGTTGATATATTCAAATTATTTTGAAACAGATTTTAGTTTGATTTTGTCGTATGGAACATTCCTTTTTGCTCATATCTACTCCCACATGCGTTTCTGCTTGTTCTGCAGTTTAAAACAAATATGCGATGATCCATCGCTCTTATGGCTACATTCTCGCTTCCGTTCGTCGTCAACCTAGCTGGGACTCAGTTAAGTGATTTCATTTTAAACAAGATAGTTTGGATATTTGCTTGCTTTTGTTTAATTGTGTTTCAAACAGAGTGCATAACTTCTAGCGGTCACCCAACTCATCTGCAAAATCATCTTGTGGATGTACTAAAAGATGGACTTTTTTAGCGTTCTAATTACTTGCCTCTGTTTTTCAAGTCATGATCATGATATCGTCGTTGATACAAAGGTGCTTGGATGCCATTTCTCATTTCGCTTGGAGTTGACAGAGCGAATCTTTTTTAATGAGAAGAAAAAGTTAATTGCACACCCTGGCTGTTCTTTTCATCAAAATGTAAACATCCGTGAACAGCGAAAACAAGTTCTAGAAAACTCCATCTAAACATATCAAACGCTTAAACTGAATGCTATCACTTAACTTATTCAATTACACACTAAGCGATGTTACCCAAATGCACGAAGATTCTGAATTTTCTCCTTGTAAATGAGCCTTATAAGTAGAACTTAATTTGTATTCAAAATTAAATCGAAAAGTTGCTTATGATTACAGAAATATCACGCTGTGTTTTATAGCTCATTACGGTTCTGAGAAGACGTCGATTTTGAGCAACCTTTTATTTCAGATACTCAGGATGAGCTACCTAATGATCCGACCCAAGAGTTGATAATTATACGATAACCTACGCATTCTTTTTGGTTGACAAGGAGAACAGACCCTTTGAGAAATCTTATCGCGATGAAGATTGCTTTATTTTGTTTACTGCCGTATTGTTTCAAGAGGACTATCTCATTAATTAGATAATGGTTTCTTTTAAATCATGATTGTAATTTACCAGCTATTTGTAGGATGTCAGTGAACTATCTTTAGTTAGTTAATAAGTTGATAATGTCGAATTGACTGCAGAACAGTTGAGGAGTAAAAAGTTACGCGGCCTTTACATGGTTCATCGAAGGGTTGATCTGCGAAAAATCATGGCTGTTACCAAGTTTATCTACTTTAATAAACTTTGTTAACTTTTCAATCGTCCACCAACACAACTCAATGGTATGTTAAGTTAGTGGTCACTTTTCATTTGTAAATAACTCCTAACAAATCCCTTAGTTTTGTTAGGGAATTTATTTTTTTTCTTTCCATTTGAAAAGGGGATTTTAAGGATAAGGAATTTGGTGTTCATGACTACATTAGCTATATGCCTTCCAAAATTCTTCATACGCCCACATAAATGATATCAATTCTTTAATTGTTTGAATATACAAATAATCTAAAGTAAATTCACTTTTAATTTTTAGATAACTCCTAATAAACTTCTCAGTGAATTTAGGCAGTTGCTTTTTTTCTTTCCATTTGAAAGGGATTTTAAGTATTAGGAATTCGGTAATCATGACCACATCAGCTATTTGCCTTCCAAAATTCTTCACACGCCCACATAAATTATACCAATTCTTCAATTGTTTGAACATCCAAATAATTTTAATTTGATTAATATATTTGAATAAAAAAAATTCCCATTGAAGCGGAATGTTTTCAGGTGAGAATTTTCTTGTAACATTGCACAATTTTTGCGTTTGCATGTGGAGTTCCTGTTTAGACAAATTCCTGACCCTGATAGTATGTGAATTAGCTCCAGCTGAGCTTCTGAATACGACTGAGCCAAAACACAACCTGCAAGATCAAAAGACTCTAGCCAAAGTCAAATTATTTTATCCGTTTTAACGAAGGCCTTTAATATATATTTGTTTTTCGGAAAAGGAAGTTTTAGGTGCGATCTTCGTCTCAAAATGATTGAACTAGACAGAAAAAAGTAACATGGATACAGTTAATGATGGACTCTTCACTGAAGATCTGAGATCTGAGGTCTGCCCATGTAACACAAAGTGGAATGCAATGTAATTTTATGCATCACAGGAACACGTCACTCGGACAAAAATCCAAGGTTCACTCAAACTCCACAGGGGACCCACTGCTGACGCACGATGTTTTAAAACATAGAACTGATGATACCTTTGTGCAAGTACAAAAGACTCAAAAGGCATAACGGCGCGTGGCTTCACTCCTTTGGTTAAGTATGTTGATATAATACGATCGTGCCAGTTGATAAACAAGTTACACACTGCCACATCTTCGATATGGATGTCGCGCCCATTGGAAAAGCCATTCCACAGCATAAGAAGAAACCCCGGCGACGTGGACCTCGTCTTACAGGGGTTAGCAAGCAGCGCAGGGTGGCGAATGCCCGTGAAAGACGTCGGGTGGAAATTTTGAACATGAATATCCAGATCTTACGGCATATGATTCCTCTTCCGCCGCAGGAGAAGGAACCTTCCAAGACCGAAGTGATATGGCTGGCTGTTGATTATATCACAGAGCTCACCAAAATGTTGGATTCCGCTGATCAATGGCAAGCTGAGCTGGAAATGTTCGATATTGACTCTTTGGACAGCTTAGATGACAGCCCTCTGTTTAATTTGGAAGGTTGGTGTTAGAGGATGAAAGAAATGGGAGGAAATGAGACTGTAAGCGGTTAGGTTTGACTGACGGTGTGAATGTAAATCAGTTAGAATGGCACAATCCTTATAAGTTGGCCAGGGACTTTTTAAATTGACGTTTAGAGAACAATTCACTTTATAGACCTCGTTAACGACTTAATAGGTTTAAATTATCATTGCAATCCTCGTGTGCTTTCGCGAAAAATTTTATAAGAACCCCTGACTACAGGTTAAGTCTGTGCAGGAGAAATTGCACAACTTTGCGTAATGTACCGACATCAGATCAGACACTATGCATAGTGTTCCCGTTTTAATGAGGTCGCAATTAGTGAGGTGGAGCCGAAAAACCTTAGTTTGCGGGCGACGGAGCTAAAGGTTGTCCAAACAGTATTTATTCCGCTGTCACCTTTATGATTTTGCCTGAAAGGATCATAACTCTGCTATTGTGTGCTGTAAGGTGCAACTTATCAGAATTTTTGTTGGGCTGATAATAACTCAATTCTTTTCTAGAATGAAATCATGGTGCATCGAGCGTTCTCCGGTGAGCGAACACATGCAAGAAATAGCATGGGCAGAATCGAGTTGCTTAGTAAGCTAAATCCAAATTTTGTCGAAAACGAAGTCGGCATTTTGGCTTCCCTCTGAGAGAGGCGAACCGTGTCGTGAAGTTAATCAGGTAGCGACGTACCGTCGTCAATGATCTCACTTAGTGTTAATTAGAAGATCTTTAAATTTTCTTTCGGTGAGTGGATAAACTTAAGGAAGTCACAATCTTCCAGACTAAGGCTTTGTTGAACTCCAGTGACTCATTGTCTCTCAATGTTTATCAATTTTTATGATTGATGAGCTGACACTAAAGTGTCCTTGTTTTTCAGATTGTGCCGCATTGTCTTTTTGAAGTCGTACGACGTTCCATGATAAGGATGCGTCCAAATTTGATCGTTGGTGGGACTGATATTTCATTTCATTGCAAGAGTGTTGGCGAAGATTTATGACACAAAATTGTTTTTTCCTCACAATGAGGAATCACTGAATGTAAATGGATGTAATGCCACTTAATTACTGCGGTCAAGTTATTGTAAATTTATGCATGGCATGAATTTCGAGGGCACATATGCAATACTTTATTTACTTACTTAATTGATTTTTCCGTTAGAATTACAGAGTTTGAATCGTAATTTGGTACCAATCTGTTTAAAATATTGAAATATTTCTGCTTGATATTCAAGCACAAAATCATTGATATTTGGGTGTTACTCAGTAAGATGTCTGCGCAGGCGCATACTTGTTAAATAAAAACATAGATTTCGCAGTTAACTTGGTTGCATTGTTTATATTGAAAGATTCTGCCTACAAAATTGCTTTCAAAACACTTTTTCACATTTTTCTGAAAGGAAAGCCAAAATAAACCACATTCAATAGGTGAAAGTGGCTGATTAAAGTTAGAAAACTTATGCAATGTTTTTCTGCTGAGGAACGCAAGGTTATCGGATATAATCAAATAGTCATTGAACGCTACCCCAGAAAACACACCCCTAGCGAGTGAAATATCGCTCAAAATAATTCCTTATCAAAATATTGTTTATGAGGGCAGTGAAATACCTATTCTCATTGAAAATCATCAATCCGTTGTGTTTGGTTTTTGGTAATTGCAAGCTTCTCTGTTTGAGGCCAAAAACTCATTAAATATCGACTGATTACATCTCTGTTCGTCTTGTTCTTGTTACAGGCCGATTATAATAAGTTTTATGATTGTTATAAGTGAGGCCTCCTAAGGACAAAGTTAAGATCAATGAATTGTTTCTTAGATGAGCTGACAGTTTGTCTCAAACACTCAAAATCAAATTAACTTCAAACAATTCAACTTCTTGTGATCTGGTAGATAAGTTAATGTTTACGTTGACATGCTTTTGTTTACTGTCAGGTAAAATTGATTTAGATTATAAACAATACTAAACTGATTCCCTGTGGAGTGTTATAACTTATTTTCATAAAACGGCTTGTGTATCACAACAGCCGCCGAACACTCCTTTGCAACCTTCGATCTTTTAAATTGGCATAACATTGCATCGCAGATATCAGTTGAAACTCAGTGGAAAAAACAGTTAATGTAACATGTATGAGTGTGCAGGAAAGAAAAGTTTTGATCGGAAACGTTGGGAAAGGAATAACAGAGAACCTCTGCCGTGAAAAAATAATATTTGAGGGGTTACTTAAGCTGTAAAACTATTTGAATTATTTAAAGAGGCTCAGAGAGGGAACTGTTTAGATAACTGTTTGTTTGCATACACAACTAATAAAAACGAGGTTTTCGAATTCGTTAAATGAAAGTTGGTTTATATAATCAGAGCCTTCAATGGCAAAACCTTCAATTTACATGCGATAGGATCTAAGATGATGAACTTTAGAGCTTCCGGCGTTTTTTGTTCAATATTGTCAATCGAATAAAAAGCTTCAAATGAGCGGAACGGATTGAAGAAGTTAGCTGCATTCCATTTCTCTCCCATGTCTCGCTCTCAGTTATTAACTGATACTTCCTTTGGAGCTAATTGACCAGCTGTCCAGCCTCGTGCAAATAAATTTGGGTAATTCGCTAAATGGATAGTGTTGATAAAGAAAGAGAATCCGCGCCCAAAGAGGCCAAAACGCCGCCATCCCCGACTAACAGGTATTCGTAAACAGAGAGAAGGCTGGCGAACGCACGCGAAAGAAAACGCGCGCACACTTAAAATAACAACATCATGATTTTACGTCGCTTAATTCCTCTGCCACCAGAAGAGAAAGAACCTTCTAAAACAGAGTTAATCTGGATGGCAGCCTCTTACATCGGGTCGATTGATGTTGTTATTACAAGAAGAAGGACACAAGACTCAGACACAAAGAGGGCTGAAGAATGATTCATAGCGGTGTGTATAATAATAAATTGATACCACAAATTTACATGAGGTAATCAAAAAGTCCATAATTAATATGTCATAATATGAAAATTGTTTTTTCAGTCATTTTTTAATGAGCAGTTACTAAGATTATGATTGGTTACCAAGTTATTTTATTTTTGACAGGAAGTGTGTTCAGACGATCGATCATATGAATTTTTTCATTTTTGACCTGCAGGCAGCGGCGAAGGAATTTGTACCATTCGTAATTAACAAGAAACACTTGGATGAGTCTCGCCATCTATAGATTCTCAATCGATTATTTTACTGACCAAGCAAGAGAAAGCCTTGGGTTATGGAAGATATAAGAGATTGGCTAATAAAGGTTCCGTTTGATCATAGTCAGCAAGTCACTATGGGATGCCAAATATTTTTTCTACTATTTACTAAAGGGAATTTGTTGAACAGAAGTACAGAAGCGATGTTACACCTATGAAAAAAAGTGAGATGGATAAAAGGAAGTGAACAAATTTATCGAGAAAAGGATGTTACATTCCACAAGAATGAAAAAACTACATACGTCGGTTAAAGTCCTATTACACTTGACCTGTCTTCAGAAAATATTTCTTAACTATGCCGGTCATTTTTTGTTATATCACCTCCCTCAGAGAGTTTAAATGCCGGATTTCTCAGCTGAATGTTTCGAATGAAGTCCCCCTGCAGATAATCTTTTAATCAAGGTTACAATGGTACATATAAATATTTACGATTTCAAGCGTGCCTTTGTGTTATACATAGTTGGTAATAAAGCTTTTGAACTCATAAGTATTGTTTACTTATCAGTTAGTACAGTGAGTAAAAAGTTCAAGTAGTTTTTAATGGAACTCAATATCATTGTCACACTTCTGTCTACTGTTTGAATATCACATAGAAAAGGACTGATTTGAAAGTTGGAATTTAGAAACAAAGTTTATCCAACACATTCAGGTTGTTGTGACTTTGTGCGATGTACACTTAGAAGAATGTCTTGCTAATGGGTCAACGACTTCAAAAATGTTAGGCAGCCGATTAGCTCACCAACCGCAGTAGCTAATTTTGTCAGTCGATTTTTAATGTTTTGTTTCTTGTGGTTGAAACCGCAAATTCTCTCAGTTAGACCACAGGCAGCCCAAGCTCACTACTAGAAAAGCGGACGTGACTCTTAACGTGTTGCGCAAAGTTGTATATTTATAAAGGTTTGTACGGGATGTTATCGGTTTGCCTTAAAAGAGAGGAAAAAATGTCTTGTTTTGAAATAAAATAGACTTACCTTATTGCCTTGTTGTTTTCTTTGTTGATTCCTAGCGTCTCAGGCCATTTTGAAGCGTTTTCAGCGAGTTAGCGCTATCTTGGTGTTCAACTGCTAAAAGCACCAACATGATAGCGCTAACTCGCCGAAAACGCTTCAAAATGGCCTGAGACGCTAGGAATCAACAAAGAAAACAACAAGGCAATAAGTTAAGTCCATTTTATTTCAAAACAAGACAGTTTTTCCTCTCTTTTAAGGCGAACCGATAACATCCCATACAAACCTTTATAAATATACAACGTTGCGCAACACGGTAAGAGTCACGTCCGCACTTCTAGGAGTGAGCTTGGGCTGCCTGTGGTTAGACCTGAACAATCAGCACAACTGGATATTTTGAAATAAATTCCTTTCATCAAGCCGCGAAATTAACATTGCGAAACTGAAAATCTTCGCAGACTGACCTCGGGCAAAGGGAATTCAATGAATCATTGCCATGATCTCATTAGATTACTATGCAAAAAAAGAGCAACAAAAAAACAAAACAAAACAAACGAACAAAACTACGCATTAATTTGCAAGGATTGATTTCCAAAGGAAATAAAGTGAGCTTTTGGATTGGGCTTTCGGTCAAGAAAGTTAAAAAAGCAAGGTTAGAATCGTTCAACCTTCTTGGTTGAGATACTCGTTCAAATTTTCTCTTGCTATTCACATCAATTTTCCTCGAACCTTGAAAAGAGAATTTTGTGGGTTCTATTAATTTGCTAACTCGATCTCCTTACTTTTAATCGACTCTTATCTGAATTAACACGCGGCATTCTACAGGAAAAAGTGGAGACCGCATTATTTAGAGATCAAGGTGTGGGCTTTAAAGCACAACAAAGTATGAGTTTTCTTCATGCGGAAGACTCATCCCGTCGAAACCTAGGATTAAAGATAAACTCGCTCGGTTTTCAAACAGATCCACGTTAGCGAACTTTTAGTCGTAGTTCGTGGAAGTGCATGCACGTACGGTAAGTTTGGAATGCAGTGGTTGAGGTGGTAGTGTGATACGATCAAGGTTATGAAACTCTTCTGGAACATTCGGATTGAACATTCGGATTGAATCTGTTCTTTCTGCCATTCAAATGAAATTGAAGATGAAAAACATGTGCTTTTTTGTTGTCCTTTGTATGATAGTTTTCGATTAGAACTTAACAACAAAATCGCAAGAAAGTATCCTTGCTTTGAAAACTTTGTTATAAACGCTGATCGGTCTATACGTAGACTCATTTCTGCTTTTATATTCCAAATAATGAATATCAGACAAGAGGTTCTGTTAAAGACGAAATGATGTTAAATAGTTATTGTTACTTATTCTTACTTAGGTAATGCCATGTACTACTTATGGAAGTACCTGATAAAGTTGTTGTTGTTGAATTAAAGCAATTGTATCGACGGAGGGGAGGGTGGGGGGAGACAGGGGAAAGGTGGCTCATTCTGCAAAGAAAATGAAACTTTAAGCTTAGACATAGAACTAATGTATTTGGACAAATTTGCGGAAAAACACACTCCATAGATTTATTTTAATTTTCAAAATATCGTTCTATGATGGCTGGAAAGACTACCGTTTAATTTTCTCACGGGTCAGTCTATTTTGGGTCTTACTTTGCTTTGCCGGAATACACCACAGAAAAACTTACGTTTATCCTTGATTAAAAAAATCTGGCAAAATAACTAACGTTGTGAAAGTTGATCCTAAAGCAACAAATTCAAGAGGTGTAGATAAGGTGATAATTACAGTAGCTCGGAGCTCTTTGAATTGGACATCACGGCATTGTTTAATCATTGTATTGAAAGGTTTTTCACCCACCACTGTCTGGAAGAGAACCAGAATGCACTAGAGATTAGAACACGAGTGGATCAAAATCTGAAAAGGAAAAAGCAAATATAGTTTAGTCTGGCGAAGTGAGTCTCTCAGTTTTAGTTTTGTTTTGGAGATAAGATCACTAAACGAGGAGCCGTCTCGAACATATACCGAAATCAGCTCCTCGTCCATAAAGATGAAAACTAAGATAATTTGACAGATTTGGAGACCTGGCCGGGTCAGTGATTTTTCATCTTCGCGGAATGCCTCTTTTCACCAAAAATAAAAGAGCTCCTGCCGAAATCTAACAAAAACAATTTCTAGGGGGGGGGGGAGGGTTTGCCGAGGATGGACTGGCGTCTTATCCAGAAGGACTAATGTTACAGAAAACACGATGATCTCCAGCCTTTCGGTCACTAACACTTAACCAATACTGACAGCTGGACACGTTTATCGGAACAATAGGTTCTTCGTATCAGCTGAGTGGGTGTAACCTTGCTCAAAGAGTCCATCATTAAGTGATAACAGTTGAGTGAGACAGGGAAAATGACTTGGATCCTCAGCAAAGTTGTATCGGCAAAGAACAATGAAAGCAACAGCGTAGCGTAGGCGTGCTTGTTAAGCCATATCAACAACAACAAAAAATGACTCTACTGGTCAAACGTCAGAGGACAGAACTGATTAGGTTTACAAAATCATGTTTTAAGTTGTTTCACTGAAACTAAACTTTAACTCAAGCGGAAGGATCGTAAAGTTATGGATCAAACGGTAAACCACAATATAAATATCGAGGTCAACCTTTAATAATTCATGGTGGACGACACTAATTTATGAAGTTGAGGGTCAAATACATTGCACCTACCGTCCAGTTCAAAAAGATTTTCGATATCCATACCCAGTAGTGTATCAAAATCCAGGAAGGAATGTTCGTTAAAATCATCCATGCTCTTTGCATCCTTTAACATTTGTGTAAGAGCATCAATATATTCAGCCGCAAGCCATATAACCTCTGTCTTTGTTGGCTTTTTATTCTGTGGTGAAAGTGGTAACAAACTTTTTAAAACTTCAATTTCCTCGTTTAAATTTTGCACCCTCTTTCTTTCTCGGGCGTTAGCCATTCTGCGCTGTTTACTGATTCCAGTTAAACGCGGACCACGACGCTTTCTTTTCTTTTTCTCCTCGATGAAAACCGTAGCTTCAAACTCGTCAGCCATGGCCGTAAATGAAACCTGTTTGGAGTTATGACTTGGAATAAGTCTTTTATATAAAGCCCAGCCCGTATTGGTTTCGCATATCTGTTCGCCGGATGCCTTAGCCTTTGAAGTGGAGTGGAGCTTAGAGATAAAACATTAGTTATCACTGACCTTACACACAAAGACCGCCCTCGGAGATGTTTATATATGGAATGACATACCCTTCGAAAAAAAACTCAAATTTCCTTAAGCAGGTTGAAGTTTTGTCTTGGAGCGAGTCTTTTATAAAACATATCCCGTATTAGTTTCGCGATGTCTTGCGATACCAGGGGTTATTTGATTGGAATGGAGCTCTAAGATAAAGGAAAACTAATCCCCGATCTCACAGCAATAAACCGACTGAAATGTTTATGGATAAAACAAAATAGCGTCCAAAAGAGACAATCACTGAGTTTTTCTATACTTTTTTGGAATCACCTTTATTATTTCTTAATATTCTTCCACTGATTTTTTAAATCTATTACAGAACGATATTTTTCTTCTTGAGCAGAGTTAACACCTTTTAATTCATCGTGACTGAGCCGCAGAACATTTAAATCGTATCAGTTACAAAACTAACAAGTGAGTTTTTAAATGATAAATACAAATGTTTATAATCTTTAGGACGCACTTGTTAGCAAAGAAAGTGGAAATCAGACGAAAAGATGGCACAGATACTTCCAGTCACTTTCAGCCAAATGTTATTTTCGTGACAGAAAAATCAGTAAGTCATGAGTGATGCCGGCTAAAATCTGAAGTCTAACAAAACTCTTGCAATTAAATTTTGCAAGGTATTTACCCGCAAAGAACTTCGACACATTGGCGGCAATTGAGCGAATATTTTGTTAATTAACACCCCCTATAATAACATAGTTTGGGAATGGGCACTTATCTGCCGAAAAAAATAAAGAAAATAACCATTGAGACTTACAGCACACAAGCCTTTAGAAAAGACTTCCTTTTATGGGCTCCGAGGTTATCGAAAAAAAAAAAAAAGGAAAAGAAAAAAGAAAAATTGTCACACGCAAATTAACCAAATTCTTTGAATTATTTTAATCCAAGCTGATCTTTCTAAGTATTAAAAGGCAGAGAGATTACAGTAAAAGTGGTCATAAAGATGTTGTTCGTGCTTGGTGCAGGTAAAAAAAAAACTCCATGTTGAGAGAGAGATAGAGAAAGTTTCAACACCAACGAACTCTAGTAACTTTAATAAGCGTACGAATGTTAATTAACTTAGGGATGTCAAAGTTATTGTGGAAAATTCATTTTCCCTCTTCCGTTTGTTTGTGAAATGACACACAAACTGGAACCAGGTAAATGACATAAGAATTATGTTTGAAACTGGACACCGATGTTGATCCTAATCGCGATTTCTGTTACATAAGTGATTCTTACTTTTAAAATTTTGTGTCTCGGAAACTCTTTGTCCGGTCTCGAAGAATCATTCATTTCGCATTTTATTTCTGTTCCGAAGGCTCGTATTTCTTTCCAAGATCTGAAGTCATTCAGAAAGTTGTTCCTGTTTCTGAGGGTCTCGCTCGAAAGGATAGCTTGGCTTGTAGCCATGCAGTATCAGAAGGGAGGAAGTCCGTGTTTGATTGCTGCGGTTTAGAATTTTTTTAATTTAGAGGCTGATATATCGCCAAAACGAACACAAGTGAGGGTATCGATGTTCTAATGCGAAATTTTCCCGTGAATAATAGCACCTTCCAACAATCTGAGTAAAGCGACAGTAGTATCATGGCCGATATGATTAAAGTTGTGTCGGACTTGGTCCCGGACTTTCAAACAGTGATTTCAGAGTGCCTCTAGCCTCGGATTTGACACTTTATCTTGCATTCCTTCTTTAACTCTGTAGCCAGTTAAGTCTAGGGTCTCTTTTTCCCTCGAAAACGACATCTTCTTTGTGGATCCGAAACGGGTTTGTCACACAGAGGATAATACTGAGCATTACCTCAGGGTTTGAGGCACGAGATTGTAATGTGCTGAGGGAAGGAAAGGTAGGTGTGGGAGGGGAGGCGGAAAGATTAATAGAGAAGATGCATATCCTTCCAAAATAATTTTCCCGACAGCTGTCGCCTCGTTGTCACTTGGTTCGGGTTTATAAAAACATTAAGGATAGCTTTTTTTTAACATGGATGTGCCTCGTGGGTGGCATTTGTAAATATACAAATTGGCAATTCGGCTCCGAAAAATAAACAAATATAATCATTCATTTTCCCTACCAGTTGAACACACAATCCATATCTTTAAGCCACCCTGTCGAGCAATGTTATGTTTAATTTTTTTCCCTTGTTTGGGTTTCGTTAAGAGCCTCCCGCAGGGGACCGAAGCGTTCCATCTACCGTCAAAGAAAGATCATTGTCTTTCCAAAAGCAGATCGATTTCGCACCGAGGAATCCAAAACATTTTTTGAGGTTTGAACCAGAAGAAAAAGTCCTTTTTTGTTAATCGGTTATGGGTTTGATGTTAGGGATTTATTAGATGTTCTCAATAGCAACGCGCGCTAACGTCCAAGCCAAGAAAAGACAGGTTACCGATTAGACGTACTAGAACTGATTACCGACCGGTCGCGCCAGAACTGATTGCTTGGTAGTAGCCTTATGGAACATGCCTCTTGTGTTACAAATAGAATTAAACACTTAAGTAGTGAATCAATCAGAGTCAGTAAGACCACCTCAAGACCTTTCATGCTGCTTATGATGGCTGCACGTGTCTGTCATGCCGACAAAGTTTTAAATATTGACTTTGATTAATCACAACTTTTAAAAAGGGTAACCCTTGAGGCAGCCAATGCACTGTATAACTACCACACCCACATATTGGAAACTATTACGTTCACTTGTACATTCACAACAAAGACCGAAGAAAGAACCAGTTCTAAATTCTTGTTGATGCGGTTGGTACGGGTAAATTTTATTTTCGTAAAGATTCTCGTTGGACCTCCTACGGCGAGATTGTTATATTCCAAGTTTCGATCCAAAGCTGGGTACGGAGTTAACATCATTTACCATGATCAATGAAGAACAAAGTTTGACATAAACAACATATATAAATATCTGATACAATAATCTAGGCTGAACCGAGAATTTGAATCTCATATTTTGTTAGCCAACACCTCGAATGCATATTTAACTATACAAACGCAAGTTTGGATTGTTCTTTTGTTTTAGTATTGGCGTTATTAAGGTAAACAGTCTTGCTTGAAAGATTTAATAACAAAAAAATGCCTTATAAGCGTGTGTTATTTTTAAAGATTCAAATTAGTTGATGGTTAGCCGAGCTAAAGGAATGACCTGTGATCTGTGATCTCCTCTGTGGTAGCCTTCTCAAAGCACGTTCACTTAAACACCAGAGAAAAAAAAGTTAGCAGTGCCTCAGTGTATCAGCGAAAGTTCATGAATATAAGGAAATATGCCTCCTTCAACTGTGGAGCGATGCACGGACAAAGAAGACTCGCTGCAAAACTGCAAACGAAAGAAGCGACGCGCTCCAAGATTGACAGGGGTTAGCAAACAGAGAAGAAAAGCAAATGCACGGGAAAGAGATCGAGTGAACATCCTGAATAACTACATTCAAATTCTACGAACTCTAATTCCTCAAACACAGAACAATTACAGGGTTACCAAGTTTGATGTCATAGTAGGTGCTACTTCGTACATCTCGCAGCTTTCTTCCATTTTAAAGGAACAAGGAGTTTTGGTTGGCAAACGGATCGTAGACACCAAAGACCCTGAAACTGGGTTATCCTCTCTAGAAAAAATGGAAACGTGAACATCTCTGTAAGGCCTCAAAGTTTATCAACTTTGATTAAGTTCCAATTTAAGTTTATATTCTAAATTGCAACAGTTCAAATGATGTTAATAATCTAAGGTAACCAGTAATTGATATATCTTGAAGATAATCTAACGAGATTTATCGGACTTAAAATGACAACCAGGAGTGGTCCAGCTTCTGACAGAGTTTCGTTTATTGCTTTTGCTCTTTTATTTACCTGTTTACCGACTTCTTAGCAGCAAGAGTCAACATGCTTATTATTAGAAACTGCAATAGCCTCGATACGGTGCATACAAAGACTCTTTTCCGGGCTGGGCACAACAATGTCCAATCACTGAAAGACGAAAATAAACTACAGTTTTCATACCCATTTACTTCCTGTGTGCTGAGTTTCTTTTGAAATGGTTAACTTTCTATAAAACTGAAAAATTGTTTTGATGATTTTACCAAAGTACAACTGATAAGCTTGAAAGCAATCATCTATGAACTGATCCTTTTCAAAAACGGAATGATTTTCCCCTCAGGCGCGAAGCGAAATCTATTTTTACTAGTACATCAGAGAAGTGTGCACGAGCTAAATAAGGCAGTTTTGATGAATTTTTTCCGACGAATACCACATTTTTGCCTCTATTTCTTCTAAGAAATCTGATTTGAAACCAGTTATTTAAATTTTCAGCAATTACACTTTATCTTTTCAATTTCGAAGCCGATTAAAATGGCTCCTTCGGCTTCTTTCAAGATCACCCAAACGTAAAACCCCATCAGAGATAAGAGACAAATTGAGCCATAACTTATACTTAAATTATTAGCTGTTATTCATATAATGATCTTCGTCCTTGACCCGGTCTCCAATAGGATTTCATGATTATTTCCGTCTTCAACCAAAGCTTGAAAAAGATAAAGGATTTAAGAACGCAAATCTACAGTTACACATTTGAGTGGAATGTGTTTTGAAAGAGTTTGAAATTCTTTACCCCCCAGTTTAGTTTTAGGCGAATTACCTGCTGAGAGAATAAACTCGAGTAATGCATATTTTTGCAGAAGTAGTTTCGATCCGTTTAATGAACAAGGACGAATGAGAAGAGATAAAAAGATTTGAGCTTTTACAGGGCAGAGATTTTGAAACAGTTTACTCAAATACCAAAGGTGAGAAAAGTGTTGATTCGTTTTGCCAAAATGTTGCTCTTATAGTAATTAACCTCCAAGTCATTCGCCGTTAAATTGTATGTTATTTTGCTGGCACGCGTTGAACAAATCGTTTTGACTTCGAACGTGTGCTTCAGCAATCAAGATTCCAGATGAAATAGCCAATACACACTTAGTGATGATAACACATAAGTTTTGGTACGTCAGTAATATATTTATTACTCTCTTATTTACGCAGCTTTCGCCCAAAACTTTTATATCAAAGGTCGCATACATATTCCCTTTTTATTTAGTTCAGAGTACAAATATTTGCATATTACGATTCTTCTCATCTTTAATTTGGCTGGTGTTACCTAGCTTGCTGTAAGTTTACTGGCAGAATAATTTAAGTACATGCTACAATTAGAGATACTATCAAAATGCTCATCGGTAACTTCTTTGTTCATCAAAGCAACTTGGCCAGAAATGGCCGCAATTATCAAGGTTATTGTTTGGGACAATTGCCTATTGCGGCAGGTACTGAATAATACGTTTGCCCCCCAAAGTTAATAACTGAGATATCTCGGCCGGATGAGATGAAATAACTGATATATATCGCAAATCACTGTTGCGACATTGTTGTAGTATAAAACTCTGTATTGTTTTCCTTTTGAGCGGAAAGCAGTGTATGTATTTTAACATTTAGTAAGTAGCACTGAGTTACATCTGGCTGTTTCCAGACGGACAGTTCTCGAAAACCTGCCGACAGTCTGGCGAAAGGTACCGAGGACTGCCGAGTTATGCAAAAACCCGAGGAATGGAATTAGAAATTAGTCAAAACTCCAACAACTCTTACTAATTAATTCTATTCGCGTAAAGATTATGAAGCTTACAGTTTTAAGTGTGCTAAAGAGGATTAGAAGAGGATTAAAAGAGGATTAAAAGTACAAGCAGAACTTTCCGGTAACAAAGAAAATTTAAATCAACATTACTGGCTGAGGTACACGGCATTCATGAAATTTAACTCAAATTGTCGGCTAATACGTCGAGAACACCATATATTATTAATTAAACTTTTATTGGTTGCAATTAATGTTGACATAACATGGTCTGGACTAAAGTAAGCTATGTTCCATATAAATCGTTTCCGTTGGTACAAACCTAGATTCCTCACCGCAAAGTTTCATCCACAAGGAAATACAACAGGGGTGTTTTATCAACAGTAGTAAGAAACACTTGTGACTGATAAACGTAAGGTCATGTCGAGAGCATTTAACTGAAATAATTTTCGCGAAAACAGGGTTTAAAGATGGTGAATACATTGGCAGATGTTGGAGTCATACACTCATCTGTGTGTAGCAATTACAAGTCTAATTCACCGCCTTCAGTACCTTCGTCGCCAACTCAAGCAAAGAAAAAACACAAGAGGCGAGGACCAAGACTTACTGGAGTTAGTAAACAAAGAAAGTCAGCGAACGCAAGGGAGAGGACCAGAGTACAAGTTATCAACAGCGCCTTTGAGACTTTGCGGGATTTAATACCTCTACTTCCAACAGAGAAACGGCCATCTAAGATAGAAACAGTGCGACTGGCAGCGCTTTACATTCATCATCTAACGGAATTGTTGAAAAATAATCGAAAATGTGAGTCCACTCTCACGAAACCTCAAGGAAAAACTGACTCGTTCAGAGTTATTGTCAAAGAGGAAAATGTTTCTGATTCAGATTATTAAATCAAAATTTGACATGCAGTATAATCGCTGCCTTTTCTTCAGTCTTGAAGAGTTTTGGCTGAACAAATAATTGCGACGAAAATTTCATTTTTCTTCAGTCTTACCTTTCCATAATGGAAATATTCTAAACCACACTACTGTGGAGTGTAACGCTATTCTGCTATGCAGATGATAGCAGATGTAAGGGAGACAGTTTCTACGCGGACTTCTGCGAAACTAAACAGACCCTGACCCGTGCAGGTTTTAAATGAACATGAAACCGAGCTGTTTATAGAAAACATATGTATGTTCTTCAAATTAAAAGAGCTCTACCAAAGTCTGACTTCAGTCACTTGAAAATAATTGTAAAATGCCAATGTGACATATGGTCACTTCGATCAGGGAACCGTTATTATTTGTAGGGCGATTGGCCTGGGAAAGCTAATGGAACTGATAAAAATAAAGGTAAGTGTTTGTGACCCTTCGATCCCTTCGTGATACACCCTTTCCTCCCCCCTCCCCTCCCCTCCCCCCTTACACAATTTCTTAACTATCTGTTTGCTCCCTTATGCTCATGTATAAATGTGTGTTCCCGTTTTTTCTTGCATAAAAATGTGACCCTCTGTCCATTTACTTTAGCCCCCCTTTGAATAATGCCACCTCCTTATTTAATATCAATGGTATAGAAGGAATGAGCAAGATAGAAATGAGTACGTTATAGGAACTTTTACCTCAATGTCCGTGGAACCTCACTGTCTTAATGTTGAATTACATTCAGCATATCACGATTCATGAGTTTTATAGAAATTGGTTGCCTCTGACTGTTGTTATTTCTGAAACAGACGTTTCGGCTAATGCTTAAGCCTTCATCAGGGATATGAAAAACCGGAGATCATTATCATACGGTATTTAAAGTTAAAAACGTGACGCGAAGCTTGCGCGCGTAACTATATATTTGATGCTCGCGCGAGGTCTTTATAGGCTTCTGGAAGCACGATGTGATCGTTTCCCGCATTCGAATGCAAAGTAGAGTGCCAGGCTTCAAGGAAAAGTCTCTCGGGGTAATTAGTTTCGAAACCAACGACCTTGACGTTTGTGAAATCCATGTTATGGTCGAAAAGGTGGATATCACGATTCATCTTTCTGCATGGTTTTAAAAAAAATCTTGCCTGGTCAGCACGCTTTACTAAATTGGTCGGAAAGGTCCTGTGCATGTTTCTCTTGGTGATACCAACTCTTGCATAGGAACTTGATATTGCGATATTTCACATATATACACTGTAGAAACTAATTAATTAAATGGAGCCGACTAAATGCGGTGGGAGTTTAATTACGCGCGAAACAATATCCCCACAATTGTGCTGATGAAACATTTGGAGCAGAAGTTTCCTCGGATCTCAAAACCTTCCATGCCCATTAAAAAGGATGCGAGGATCGTGCATCATACGTATCTATAACCGCAGTTCAAAATATATGAACTTCATATATTCATTGTACCAAAAAGGATAATATTACAAACAAACTACTGAGACAAAGTCTTTTTTGTCTTAATTTTATTAGGTTTCCGTTCCTAATCTAGCAGGTGTTCACCTGTTTTCCAATTTATCCATGGAGTACACATCACATATACCATAAGTTTTCGAGTTAAAATTACGCTTAGCCTTAAATTTTCTTATTAGTGATAAAATTATTCATACTTTCCCAAATTAAACTTGTGGGTGAAATGGAAATAAAAGCTTCGGAGTGTAGAGATACTTTCTCTATCTTAAATTTAGTCTTAAAAGCAGCGAGAGAGCGTTATTGCAAAGAACGAAAAAACGTTATTAAAAAGCTAAACATGTTTTTCATGTAGCAGATAGGTAAACCGTTATTGTTCTTTATCAATATTGAAAGGACCCATTTTTTTCTGCAATGTTATGTTCCGACAAAATGTGGATGGGTTAGGGCTAGATGTGGCGTCTGTAAGCGGTTTAAATCACGGCATTGTCCGCTTCACTTATAGTTGAATATCTCCTCTTCAGTGAAACCTAAAATCGTTTCGTGATCGTCATTTTGACTTCCCTTTACTGATACCCGAGTTTCCTGATCTAAAAACAGTCTGTTACACTTCATAGGCGGTATTACTCGCCGACAAAGATGGTCGTCGTTTTGATAAAAACAGTTTTTACAGCAAACTTACGCACCGAATGGAAAGGTCATTATAAACAACGACTAGTAACGAGAGAATAGAAATCTATCTTTAAAGTCAGTTTATCTCGAGAAAACGCAATGGTTCGTCAGCCAACGCGTGCATATCACAAAATGTCTTCACTTTTTCATGAGTCCCATCAATCTTTTTTTTTATCTGACCAAACTTCCATTACAGCTTTGAAAATTGGTCAGCGTCCCAGAAGACAAGCAAGGGAAATTGTGAGGGAATTTGAAGCGCTACGTGTCCAGTCCGAGTAAAAAAGATCCAGTCTCTGCATGGTTGGCTTTAATTTGCAAATCGTGTTCTCGACTTTTCAGTTTTTATCTTAGTCTTCACATCTTAAATATTAAGAAAAACTGACGGCTGTTGTGATCATCAAGGAAGAAATTCCGATAGATTTATCGAGGGCTTTTATCTCATTTCTATGGCTTAGCGATTTCAAATCATCACTACATACTTTTTGCACTTGTGTGGGCAAAGATTGAAACAACACGATATATATTTCAAGATGTTTATTTATCTATGGAGACTGCTATCCAATTTGTACAGTACATGTGAAGTATATAAATCCGGAGAAACGTTCGGTAGTTTTCGAGTTCCCGGCTATTATTAAACACGCGTGATCAGTGTAGCTAAAGAGAGCGCTTGTGGTCCGTGATTAAGCAACTGAAGTAACTTGTCAACGGCGGCCTGGTATATGTTCTCAATAAGGCCGCTCGATAAATTCCGTCCTTTTTAAGCGGTAATAGATCCGCCGCGTGTTAAAAATATTTTTATTTACGAGCATAATCCTTCTTAACTTCTGAAAAGACGATTGTGGGAAATATAAAAATACCAAAGGAATAATCTCTTTCAGTCGGAAACCAAAACAACTCGACAAGTTTGTTTGCGGTATCACATAAAATACCAGTTTGTTTTCTCATCCGTTTAATTCACAATGAAAACACATCGTGCGGGTTTTATGTTATCATCAAGAACAACCGACTATTTTGACGAAACTTAACCTATATTTCCTTTTATTTAAAGACTCTTAAATTTATGTGATCTTAGGTCAGCGAGATTTTTTGACATTCTTGACCTCGAGGCAAGTTTAAAACTTGCGACAGTTCCTTTCGTGTTCTGAATTTTATACGGTTAGTAGGACAGTTTTTCTTAGTTTTTAACCTCAGTAAAGTATCTTCATTTACGTGTTTGTTCTGACACGATGTCTGAACTTCTATGAAAAAATGTGCCATTAGTGTAATGATGATTAAATCGTCTGTTTTACACGGACATCAACAGGTACAACATGGAATCATGTGATGAAAATTTAAATACTGATCCAGCGAAAGTCAATTTTCGTCTAAGGATCCCTCGGAGTCTATAAAAATGAATAGAAACAACATTAAAAAAAGAAATCCTTAAAATTAGGAGCTCTATAACACGACAAAACAGACATTTTTTAGGTGTTTTCATAAGATGTAGAGAATAAAAAAATATCGCCGAATTATTGATTTACCTGTGAGGAATAAAAGTTCATATGCGTCCAGATTCAGCTCAGATGCTGCCGAACAATCGTTAAGGCCAAAGATATCGGTCACTGTAGAATTAAAATACACAAGATATAACAAATTTTATGATATCATAAATGCGAAGGAATAAATACAAATTTTATGAACACTACTAACCTGCCATGTCTACAAACGTGAGGTCCAAATTTTGAGGAATTTCATCAGAGTCGTTGCATGTATTTTCAACAGTTTTGTCGGTCTTCAGTTTTTCTAGCAGATCAGTGAGAAATCTGATATAAGTTGCTGCCATCCAAATCACTTCAGTCTTGGTCGGCCGTTTCTCAAATGGCGAGAGTGGAATTAACTCCCGGAGGTTTTCAATATGTGAATTTAAAGCGTGTACTCTTCGTCTCTCTCGTTCGTTTGCCATTTTACGTTGTTTACTGACTCCGGTTAATCGAGGTGGTCGCCGCTTAGTCTTCCTCTTGGCGTTTTTATCTTCCTTCCCGTGCCTGCCTTCAATTTCTTTTTGACCCATTTTAGTTTAACTTGACTCTCTGATGTGTGTGATGATGCTTTTACGGAGATGTTCGCTGCCTCGTGGAATGCGAGATATAAACAATTGCAGACAAACTACAACCCAATACAAGTCAAATACAAACAATCTCCTCCCACTTTTGATTAGAGATCGGTTAGATCCAGTTACACACCTCCGCAGTATCCGTCCAAGAAGAAATTAATTCTTAGACACGAAAAACTGCAAAATCACTTGACCTTTACTCACTAAAAACGTTTCGAAGTCAACATCGCAGCTATCTCAACTCTTAACGTATAGAGCGCCAGGAAGCAAAGTTTTTGACGGATACTTCAAATAGTCGTAAGGGTTAATTTCAACTTATCGGCCAGCAATTTGGTTAAAAAGAGGTCATTTTGGTATGAGATATATTTACCAGAGAAAATGTGCAACAAATCACCCTGATTTACTATATATTGCCATGATGACAAGGCCCACAATACGAATATTAAGTTTTGCGGATGTCACCGCCGGAAACAGTTCTTCCCACTTAATTTTCTCAATCATTATTTCATCGAGGCTTGTGTCCTCACCACGGACTTCACAAGTACAGACATGGAAAACGTCGCGATGCTTAATTAAAATTTCGCCGAAGAAACCTATACTTGTTTCTATTTCAAGCCCATTGTCCTAGAACTCTTTGGAACTTGTCTCGTGTTATATGCAGTTATAGATAGCGTGTAGTTCGACTAAATATGACTCTGTTTTGGGATTATCTTCAGTAATTCCGGATACTTTTCAGTCTAAACCTATGGTATGTTTTTGCCAAAAACACCACTCATTTTGACCACCGCAAGGTAATTATTTTAATCTGTATTCTTAAAAAAAAGGGGGGCATTGGCTTTTTCTGGAATGAATTCAGCGGAACAAAAAAAATGGGTGGGCTAGATGAGACAAATCCAAATTAAAACCAGCTGAGAATTACATTATTTTGCGGTAAAAAAAGTTAATTGTATAATGGAAACTTAAACATGTTAAATGAGCGCATGCAATGGGCCACTTACTCACAGGAAACTCCCACTAGAAAGTAGCTTTTTCAGCACGAGCTTAGGGTAAAAAAAAAACGTGAGTCGTACAAAGTTTTCATGTCACTTTATATTCTAACTGAATACTTTGGTATGATATTGTGGATGTAATGAGTGTTACTTCCTCGTGTTTCACAGAGAATCCTCACGGAAGAGAATAAAAAAATTAAAGGAAACGACTTGTAAAGGTCCTGTTTTGTCCATTTCGTGTGAACACTATCACTGTTTAAATGTTTTTCAGCTCGTCATAACACCCGCAGTCACCTTCTACCACAAGTGTCCATGGTATGGGAAGATTAAAACGATTTACCAACTTGCATAGCCAGACGACCTTGTTGGGGCTTAGAATAAGCTGCATGTATAACCGTAGTATAAGTCTATGTGGTTGGGGAGTTTTGTCACTTGAGTCTCATCGGTTCTTTGACGGCGGCTGGAACGGTGACCAAGTCGTTATTTTTCTAACCCTAGACTAATAGTTCATATAATTTTTTATACCTGGCTGTGGTTATAAAAGCTACATTCATTTCTGTGGATTTTGGCTCGTAGATTAAGTCCTTTGCGATTGACATGTGGTAATTTGCGGTTGTTTTGATGTCTGAGTTTTGTTAAGAAGTTGGCCAGTTATGTGTTTGCGGCGCAGAAGGTATGATGTTTACTAAATCAAACTCGCAGAGTCCTGATGGAAAGCTTTTAATCTATCAATGTAAAAATAGAAAAGTCACATATTGTTTAACCCTTCCTGAAATGTATTTCATGATTCAAACCTAACTTCATTGTCCTTAGGAGGCAATGAAGGATGACTTTGGGCGTCCTCATTTGATAAAAAAAAAAACTAAAAAATCTAACCGCAGCATTCGTTAATGAGAAGTACGTGCTAATAAAAAGTGAACTGGCAGGTTTTCAATATAGTTAGGGTGATTAAAATAATAACTTTTTTTTTTTCTGATTGTTCATCTTGAGAGTTAGAAACAAAATGGTTAAAGTTCAGTGTGCTGACTGATTATTTAATATTCAGATGGTGACGAAAAATACAGATGGGGAGTATTTGGCTCCAATATTTGACCATCAAAAACAAAGTGAGTTTGATGATCATTTTCAGTGCACTTTGTTTAAAACTTCGGTTATTTCAATTAACCCTTTTGCCGACCGTTCAGCTAAAACTATCATAGTCACATATCCGTGTTAACTTTGTTCCATGAGTCTCATCATGACATAACTCAGAATTATGAGAACTGAGACCTGAATCGTTAGTAAATCGTCTCTGTATAGTGTCGAGCTTCCTTTGGCCAATATCTTTCAAAGTCATTCTGATAAAGGAATCACGGTAAGTGGTTTATATTTAAAGGACTGTTGAAAAGCCTTTATACAGATAGTAAACTGCTCACAAGGTTTGGTCTTACGTTTTTGCTAATAGATATCTACTAACCCGAGCGTTATGTGGTTTCGGCAGGTAGTTAGAAGAAGTGGAAGAAGCCGTCACGATGTCGACAAAGTGAATCCTAATTGTTCAAGTCCAATTTTGCTTACTTCGAAGCTTTAATCTTCGAAACTCGTTCAATGCATTTGATCGATAAATTATGTCACATGATTTAAATGAATGATCATCAAAATGCCAATTATTTACAGCTGGAAAAGGCTGTGATTGTTTGAATCTTTATGGAGGGAAAAAATCATTTTGTCAAAAAATAATCTCAAATGGACAGTAGCCGTTCTCCCAACTGCACGGCAAGGCAGAGGGCTAAATTATTTTTGAGTACATGGGATGAGCATTGGCGTCAAAGAAAAACGCCAACTAGCTCTATGATGAGTGACGTAGCCAAAAGCCCGAAAGGAATCGAAACACATTTCATATCGTGCTTTTGAGTCTGTTGTGCACAATTTCCCTTCAAGAAACTACGTACTACAAAATATATTAAATCTTGTCAAGGTTGTCAAGTTGCCATATATGGTAGCATTTCGTGAAAACTTCAATCATTTAAAAGTATCATAAACGAACCCCCTTTTCAAAGACATATTAGTTACAGCGGCGGTAAGAGTTGTAAGTGCTCAGTAAGGCATGGAGTATTCTGATGACAAGTGAATCACCAAATGCAGTAACATATACACTGTCTCCCAAAGACAGAAATGCATGATAATTATACGATCCTGAAATAAGACAATGATCAATCACAATTTTTGTAATTCAATCAACCTACAAAACCCCTCATCCGATTAAGCACCACATCTTCATATGCCCAACCACTCTAGAAGTGATCCAAAGGATGGGTTCTTGAATGGTAAAATTGCGATTCTAAGACCATTTACTCTGCTATCTCTTCTTAAAAAAGGATCCTGAAAAAGGTTGCGGTTTATCAAAATACTAAAAGACTAAGAGACTTTTGTCTGCTCGCCAGCCAGCTCAACTCAAATGAAACCTGGCTTGACTAAGCAGAGTTTCATCGCAGAAGTTACCTGAAAAAACGCTGATTGATTTTGTCGACAATTGAATGGATAATGATAATGATAATGAGTTAATAGCTGTTCGAAATAATATTCACAGAACATTTAAACCACCATTTAAAACAAATTAAATAAAAATATGGCAATTTGCGTCAGAATCGAATCGAATAATATATTTTAATTGCTAAGCAGTACCATGTGGTTGAAAATAATGATTAGACGGAAAGTGATGAAACAAAATCGGTAGGTTTCCTGGTTGATAATAGTAACTGAAGAAGTCAGAAATAAAGGGGGGCTTCAGAGTTTCATTTACGAGAAAGTGTTAATTCATTACAGTAGTTTACTGGATATTTTCACAATTAGATCATGAGATCGAGAATTCTATCACGTGATAGTTGAAGAGGGCGAAGAGCGAATCAAACTCTCGCGCAATAAAACATTACTAGCTCATAACTAAATTGTTTTATCGTAAATCTAGTATTCGTTCAAATCTTAATAAAAGACAGGATCACGCTTTCGTGTTAACCACACACTGTTAAGCTACAGTATTTACTTTCGTATGATGCACGATCCTTCGCAGTAGATAGCGCTATTTATGCAATAGCGAAAATCAGACCTGAAAAAATCAGGCCTGTACGGGATTCGAACCACTGACCTCTGCGATACTAGTGCATAAGTTGGCTTGTTAGAGCGCTGCACTAGCATCGCAGAGGTCAGTGGTTCGAATCCCGTACAGGCCTGATTTTTTCAGGTCTGATTTTCGCTATTGCATAAATAGCGCTATCTACTGCGAAGGACCGTGCATCATACGTATTTAATACCGCAGTTCAAAATATATGAACTTCATATATTCATTGTATCAATATTTACTTTACTAATTATCTATCACGGAATAGTTAGCGAGCAGCGTAGCCAGTCAGATTGCAGCTCATAGAACGCTACTAGATTTGCATCAATACCGAGTATCCAGGTCTCAAATAAAATGCATTTCTTTTGATACAGTCATTCGAGAAAAACTTCCCCTCTTCATTTTCCTAGTTATGTGTTTTTTAACTAATTGCTTCGTTAAGATCAAATGCATGAGACAAATGAATTGGAGACGGTGCTTGGGAGAGTTAAAGGGAAGTTGTACACCAAGACCATAGGCAACACACAACATCTCCATCAGCGGGTAAATTGAAAATGCTTTCAGAAATACGATAGAGAAATTTAACCAAATAGAGTAAGGACAATTTACTTGAAGCAAAGACAGAACCCATGTTTACCTTGATGCACCATCTAACATGTTTTTGATTCGTTACGGGAATTTCAAAGCCATAAAGTAAGTTTATTCCTATAGTACGCCTACTGTTTAAAAGAAACAACATCGAAATAATCTTCTGTTGGAAGGGAGATGCCATGATTTTATCGTCTCTGACTGGGTACATTGAAATAACACTCAAAACTGCAATGGAGAAATTCAAACATATCTATTTCTAGTCCAAGCATCATAGAGATATAGCGAAACATTTGGTCTCAAACTAATGGCACATTTAACTAATAACACATTTTTACTTAAACTTATTCCTGTGGGCAGGAGCCGCTTGATTCCTGCTATGCCAGGAATGTTTCTAACGCTGTTTAGATCTGAAAATGTCCAAGGAAGTTTCTAGATTTACAAAAAATGAAATATAACTAATCAACAGGTGAACGAGACCCTTGGCGGAGGCCAGGTAGGCGTTAAAAAAAAAAAAGCGTTCGTAGAGTATCCTCATTATTGTACACGTCGTCGGCTTTCAACAGTATTTGCGTGAATTGTTGCAGTGCTTGTGTCACAATGAAAACACGATTAGAACAGCATGCACCTCTTCTAATTGGCAATAATTAAATCAAATGAAACAAATCTCCTGGAAGCTACTTACTAAAAATATGTTGTTTGGGAAAGAGAAACTCCAATTCATAAATTAGCTTCGTGAATTATGACTTGTCATTAAAAAAAATAGCTGGCATTTTTCTTCTTCTTCAACCCATTTAAAGTTCAACAACCTTGATTTTTCTCAGGTAAATTCAATCAAAAGTTTACTTGATTAGAAGCATTGATGTCGTGGTGGGACGTCGCTTTGTCATCTTAAGCAGCACGGTCTTCATTGTTGATCTGTAGTCCCAACTTTGATTAAGTGATAGATGAGAAAGGGAACTGACTGAGTGAAATCTCTTTTCAAAAATGCCTCAGAGTTGACTCATTCAAAGGAAAGATGCCCGATTACTTTAAGGTACTACTTTTTTACTCCTGAGAAGTACGTAAAAGGCAAATCATGCCTTCTCAATTTAAGTATTTTCGGAGACCAACAGAACACCAACTGTTTGTAAATCACGCTTTGCCTCCCACCAATTGAATTGAATTCTGGGATATTATACGTGTGTGGCCAGGTTACTCATTTGTTTTCAAAGTAGCAGCGTTCGTAGCTGGAAGTTTTAGCAAACTTAAAGACCAGCAATGTTCCGAGCGTTAGGTTACTCTTTGGAATCTCAAAACGCAGTAAGTTGTAAATTTTTTCAATTGAATAGTGAGGGACACGCTCTCATTTCATTCTACAGACAGAGCTTTGAACATTTGGTAATATCAACTAATAAGTTGAAACTGTAAATTGGCCACCGCAAAGAGTTAAAAAGCTGTCGTTTCGAGCGTTAGCCCTTCATCATTCGCTCTGAAAGCACGACATTCACCGGTCTGCAATTTACACATTATTAAAAACATGGTTCTTACTGTTGGCAGACTCAGTGGCTTTAAATTCTGCCTTACTTGGAACTGAAAGACGTGACATTGGAATTTGTGACGGTCCGGGATATTTCTTTCATCAGCTTCTAATGAGAAAAATAATTTTACTGATTTAAGATCTCAGGTAAGTATTATTCTGATTTGAAGTAGATTATGAGCATTTTCAGCAAATTGATTCGAGAAATTTTAAGACATTTTTTCTGTTAAAAGTTTCTGTTGGGTTCGTCATTTTGAATTGAAACCGCTGCCGCCGAGTCGTTTGGGAGTTATTGCAATAATCGGTGCGAACCTGTATATAAGTATAGATTGGAAATCGAAGGACCATAAAAAGAGCAGACTGATTGGTCAACTTTTGGTATTGACCCGGTTATGAATTAAGCACTACTTATTCAGACTGAGTGGGAGGCGCGGACGTGAACATTTCAGTTCGGCTCAAGGTCATGACTTTGTTGCATGTTGCGCCCTGTCTGTGAGTGATGACCGGGAGCCAATGTTTTTCCCGTCCGACCCGACCCTGAGTCATTCGATGAGCAGTTTATCATGTGATATTTGCTCTTTCTCTGCCTTCCTCTCCTCTTTATACTTTTATTGGATCTTACGGCTTTTTCTGGCCCTACTCGTGCCATCATGCATGGCCCTAGTAAAAAATATTTTTCCCCAATAAAACCACCAGCGCGTTACCATACGGGTATGGTGGTGCTAATAGTTCAAATTCTCTTATCTCCCTGTGTCAATACAGTTTTAATGAGGCGCAAACTACGAATATTTGCATTACAGCTCGTTAAATTTCTTTTGCGCTAGTTTTGTTTATTGTAGGCTATTTACAGTGGGAAAAGCAGAGAATGTAAGGCTTGGGGGAGATTTTTGCGCCAAACCAACAAATAGAAAATAGTTGATCCCCAGAGTTTGTGGCTG